AAAAAAAAAAAAAAACTACAAAAACAAAAAACGACATTCTAAGGTTTTATACCAGAGGTGAGCAAAACTCTACATGTTTGGGGCACTCCCATTTTCCCCTTGGACTGTGATTGGTGTGTCTTACAACTCTGGACCTTTCTCAGAAAGCCCCTCTGATGAGCCCGGGACTCACACAGGGCCTCATCTGAGAATGCTGTTTGCTTGGACAGTAGAAGCTCACAGTTATGGACATGTCAGATGAACTGAAGGATCCATCTCAAGGATGGAAACCAGGATGGAAGGCTCAGGAAGACACGTTTCCCAGCCTTTGGTTACCGCTGCACCACCAGCTCTTTCTAGCCGGGACATCGTGCCGGGCTGGAATCAACCCTGGCGGGGGCATCAGGCACCTGGGCTCTAGCCCAGCTGTGCCCATTACTAGCTCTGTTTCTCAGGCAAGTCTCTGGGCCTCTGTTTTTTCATCTGTAAAATGGGAGTAAAAATACTGCCCTGCTGCCTCATATGGTTATACGTGGATGGTCTTCAGAACCAAAGAGCTCTTGACTGAGAAAGTACCCTAAAAAGTGCTAAATGCTTTGTAAATGCCGAGTATGATTGATAATAGAGAGAAATACGTCCTGCCTTGGACACTGCTAGGTAGAAAGGGATGTCACAGCTCCCGTGGTCATGGTACCAATTTTCTTTTTATTTTTGCTGCATGATTTTATTACTATAAATATATGGTAAAAAGAAACAAAAGCTACCCAGGGTAGATCAGATGATAGCACGTGTAAGTCCCAGACAGGCCAGTCTGTGTCCCGTCCTTCAAACCGACTGCTGGCACCGAAACCGATGGTGAGAAGCTGGGCCTGCTACCAGTTTTCTCTCCCCACTGTGGCTGTCTCATTTCCACCGGCCGCTTCCTGGTCCTGTGCCAGAAGCACAACTGTGGCTGAATGTCGCGGCCCTATTCTCTTTGATAGACCATCTGAAGAGAACTGCAGCTCTCTTCCCATGCGCTCCATCATTCAAAGCATGTCACACACGACCTTGTTTAGTTAAACTCTGATGGTGTTGTTTAACGCTGGGGCCGGGAAGAGCCTTCCCCTCACTTGCTGCGTACGTGTGTGCGTTGCACTGCTTCAGAAACCGGCAGTGATTTTAAAGAGAGAAAAAGACTTTGTTGAATCAAGCTGAACGTTGTGGGGAAATAAACCTCTTTATATCAGAGGTAGATTAGCAGAGGTGGTTGGTGCCGTATGGTGATTGAGGATTACTGAACAGTATCGCTGAGAAGGGAATGTCGGATCTTTGGACTGATTCCCTCCTTCTGCGAAGGAGCAAAGTGAGGCCCGAGAGCAAGCGGCTTACCAGTGAGGCCCTGAGTGGCTGGTGGTAGGACTGGGTCTAGAATGGTCTCCCCAGGCCTGGTTCAGTTCTCTCCCTGACTTCCCACGAGGAGCGCTGCCTTGTAGCAGCAGGGAATGATCAGCACTGACCCCCCACTGGGCCTGGACACCCCAACAAGAGCTCTGTCTCCTCTAGATGTTTCTAAGCACAGATCACTCAGGAGACTAATTGTGCAGCCAGCTGTCTTGCCACGGGTGTTTCTTCTTTTAAACATCTGTCTGGTTTCCTTTAATTTTGTATAGTTTAGTGAGTATAAAAAGCTCACAGTGAGAAGCAGGGTCTGGGAAGCATCATTTCCTAGAAGGGGAAATAGTATGAATCAGGAGAGAAACATCCTTGCTCTGACTTTTCGATTCACTAAGGCATTTCACACAGAAGAGAAAACTCAAATATGTGTGCAAACACGTTATGAAACACATCCTAGGACCACTTTGATGGCTCCATAGGCCTTCCTTTTATTCAAGTAGATCCTTGCGGAATCTGGGTCTGGGGACGCTGCTCTGTCCCTGGGGTGGATGTCACCCTGACAGACGGCTTAGTGTGGTCTTTGAATATTACATTCGGTTAAAGAATTGTACAATGGACAGTTCTAGGGAGCAGAACTCTTGAAAGCCTTTTAGTGAAAACACCAGCGAATTCATTGCCAGCAGCTGCTTTCCTCTGAGGCTATAATGGGAACAATCCTGTAGTCAGCAGGCAGCCACCCTGAGAAGCCGCCCTGCTGAGGCCCCCGCGAGGCACAGACGCTGCAGAGCGCCGCGGTCATTGAGGGAGAGGCGAGCCCGGACACTGTCGCCTGGAGCGAGGCCGACACTGAAGCCGATGTACCCCCAGCAGTTCTCTCGACTCCCTCTCACCTTGCCCTGAAGTGACCACTGAGTGTGCGCTCAGCCAGCTCCTGCTCTTTGCGTGTGCATTTCCTGTAGCTCTTTGCCCTTCGTTCCTTGGGTCAGAGCTGATAGGACACCTAGTACTGGCAGCTTAAAAGGAGCAATGACTTCTGAATTTAAGCTGAAGTTGTAAAAAGGGATCAGTTTCTCAAGTTCCATTTGTTAAATGCCTTCTGTGATTTTCGCCTTATAGATTTTCATATTTGGGGAAAGGAGAAAGAAGATAAGTTCTTATTTTGGAAGATTTGGATATTTTGGCCAGGTTAAACTACCTCTCATAGTACCAGTAGCAGAAGTACTAACAAGAAGGAGAAAAAGGGAAATGACATTCTTACACTGTGCACTTCAGGAGATAACAAATCTGAATAGTAGGGGCCTGCCACTGGGAGGTGCATACACTAAGCTTAGGAAGGGAATGGTATATCCACACCCACACTCTTAAAACAGTCACAGGCAGAGACAGCTGAAGTCTGAACCCACTAACACCCACTAACCCATTAATGCAACCACACAAAAGTGAACTGTTCAGAAAAGAACAACCAGACTTCAGAAGGATAGATATTCCTGTTGCCTATTCATCTTAATAGATGTTAGCAAGATTCTCATACCATGCGCCGGATTCTTCCCTGACTTTGCTCCCTGTGGCTCCTGACAAATCTGAGAGATTCCCATTTGTTAAGACAGAGTGGTGTATGGAATATGTGGTTTGGAATGTGCAGGGCGCCTTAAAAAT